CGGGCTCCTAGTAGGGAGCTCGGGTTCTTAGGGAGCTCGGACCTAATAGGGAGCTCGCTCTTAACAAGGAGCTCGGGCTCCTAGTAGGGAGCTCGCTCTAAATAGGGAGCTCGCTCTCGATCAAGGAGCTCGGACTAAGTACAGCGGTCTGGAGTTCGGGTTCGGTAGTGAGCTTGGACTTGCTTCCGATATTTGCTTTGGGCGCTCTACTGTCCCGAGCTGCTTGTCTTTGCCACGTGTCGGGTGATCGCGAGGTCGGGCCAAATTTCCCTTCATCACTTTGGATTGGGCTTTGTCTGGAATAATTCTGAACCCAAGGTTTAAGTCATTTCCCTCTGAATTGAGAATATGCAATTCTGCACTGGCATTGAATCAGTAATGGCTGTAATAATATTTTTATTAGTAGCTTGTAGATAGAACCAAGCTTTATATAATTTAACGATCAACTTGCAGTTAATATTTAATATCAATGGGTTGTAGGGCCCTTTGAGAAATTCATACAGGTAACGATGATCAAGCCACTGACGGGTCAACAATACTCCGAGAAGGTGACTGAGAATTGCGTGGCATATTGGAAATCTGTGGGAATTTACACAGAATCAGAGGCCAAGGCAGTGGAGAAGTTCATTGAGGTCTTTGAGGATGAAACCTTTCCTCCTGGTGCTTCCATCCTATTCACGCAAACACCCCATGGATCCTTGACGGTTAGTTAAACTTAATCCTCCACGGTCTCCCTCTTTATAGGGTCTTCTTATATCTGTCTTAGTTTACACTTCATTTTCTGTATTTTATTGGTCCTGATTTTGTTTATTTGTTTGTTGCTTCTTATTATCCCAAAGATTGGATTTTCCAAAGATGGGTCCATACCTGAAGTAGGGAATGCGGTGATAGAGAATAGACCGCTTTCTGAAGCAGTGTTAGAGTCTATCATTGGCAAACATGGTGTCTCTCCTGAGGCCAAGCGGAATTTGGCTGAGCGGGTATCTAAATTATTGGAGAAATTTTGATGCAGAGGAACTTGAGCTAAAATGGAATAGACAAATGCAGAGAGAGAGAGAGAGAGAACTATGATTGTATGCCAATAATTTCTTATTTAAAACTAAAATAACCCGGTTTGGTTGTCAGGTGGGAGGCCAACTATGTGGCTCATGCAATTACTGTCAAGAATGTCAAGTATCACTATATTGTGTGGTTTTCACTGGATCTGGATTGAGCTCTTTCTCCAGGGGTGCAATTCGGATTGGCCCGAGTCCAAGGTTTAAAGTATCGGTACATCCCAATATGCTTGAAGGGGTGTATCGGTATTATAAACCTTGCGTATCCTTTTTTTTTGTTTTTTTCAAAAATAAGTTAGGGGGTAGGCATTAGGCCTGCCCACCCACCTAATGCCTTACCCACCCCCTAAAATGAGTCAAAACCCAAAGGTCATATTATTTGGCATATAGGTGATCTACCGATACAACATGTAGGCCAATACGTTGCAAAATTTTAAATCCTACCCGAGTCTTGAGTGAGCATCTTACACTGCTTCAGACTTGGGCCTTCTGATAGGATCCATTCAAAATGACAAAGGCCCATCCCTAACCCACTCAAATTGCAGCCCTAAGTGTGACTGTCATGCTTTGTTCCCACCTCAATGAGTTTTATCTTGCTGGACTTCTTTATATAAAGAATTCGACTATGATGCCAGAAAAAACATGATAGTGAAAAAACTTAATTAATCAGTTGGATTTAAATTAAAATTTACGAGGGTTATGATTGGTATCATATCTTTCCGGTATCGTGGATTTTCTGTATCACTTATTATCCAATACACCAACAAAAAAAAAAAAAAATCACAGTAGGCTCAAATTTAGATCCTGTTTGGGGAAAAGGATCGCAAGTTCCATCGGGTGCTTGGAAGTTGGAACGCACTATTTAATGGATCCGACCATGGGAAAACTGGACTTACAAATGGGCAAAGAACTAAAATGCGGTTGGGAAAGATAGGATCAATTCAGATTGACAAAAGCCCATCCCAAACCCATTCAAATTGCACCCCTAAGTGTGACTGTCATGAACTAAAATGCGATTGGGAAGATGTCGATGACCCAGTAGGTGAGATGGGAGACCGGATCTGCTCCTCATACAAGGGCCTCACAAGTCACACTGATTTCACAGGTACATCCCACCATGCATTGGAACATGGAGATGTTCCCAATGTATGGTGAGATGTGCATATGAGGAGCAGATCCCAATTATGTATGTTCTTGCTACTTTTGTTGCTACTTCAATGCAAGCTACCTTGAACATGTTGGTTATTGTGATATTATTAATCTTATGTAGTGAGAAATGTTAACCCAGTTTTTTATGTCCATTTGGTTCAATATGAATGTAAATAGGGGGTGGTCCAATCATGGTCAATATGGTTTAAACCAACCTGGTCTACTTTTTAAGATATTAGATGTTCATCCATTCCTAGCCAATAAAGAAATACATTGAAAAATACAATGTTCATCAATATATACAATAAGAATGCTCATAAATGGGACAATAACAAAAACTAAATTGTGAGCCACTGAATCAACAATGAGATATAAAACTGTAGAAAGAGCCCTCACACAATAATTACTTTACATCAGATCATAACCTTGGTGTCAAGAACAGATAAGTACCCTTAAATCCAAGTGAAGTTGGAAAATCTTCATTTTGGATGCTGAATTCTTGGCTTTATTGAACAATAGGACTAACACCATTATTCTGTTTTGGCAATGAACCTGAAAATCCAAGGGTCAAATAATATCTAAGTTGCAAGAATAAGTGCTTAGAATAGATAGCTCAATAGTACTAGGCTAACACTTTATTTACCCAATTGTCCTTGTGGCCCTCCAGCAGAACTAGGCCACCCAGTCAACTTAAGGAAATCATTTATACCAAAAGGAGAACTTTTACTGGAGTTAACATCATTCAACACCCCCATTGAACTTAAATTACTCCCTGCTTGGACTTGGCTTTGTGATTGTAGAGAGACTGGGTCCTAGCCCCTTGCTATCTTATTAATTAGTTTTTTCTTGTTATTTGTTTTTAATGGGCCTTCAATTCTTTTTATGTTTTCCAAGTATGCTGGTGGACGCCCACTTAAGGGTAGACTTGTAATTTATGTAATCTTAGTAAGATTAATAAAAGATTAGATTGGAGAAAGAGGAGATGATCAAACTCCTTCTTCTCCATTATTCTTTTTCTTATTGTCTTCTTCTTATTCTTCTTCTCTTCCTCTTCTACTATAATCTGAAATATTTTTACAATTTTTTATTGATCTGAATCACATCTGTGATAATGGGCCTCTAGCAATAGGATAAGAATTTCCTAACATAGAAACGACATGCAGTAATGCTGAATACAATATGGTTGTACAACCCTACCACCCCATCCTCTCCCCCTTAAACTCCTAGAGGGCCTCTTCTCTGGCTTGGTCAAAAGGCAAAAAGACCTTAGAAAAATTGTTCTCTTCTTCCTTCTTGCCTCTACCTCTTATCACTCCTGGTTCCTTCCACCCAGATCTCTCCCCACTGCTGCTCTCACTACATACCTCCACATTCCTATCAACTGCATCCCCTTTGACCAACTATCCTCCTCTCTCATTTTCTTCAAAGCAGCCTCATCACATGGGTTTACAGGCATACAATCTATGAAATAGAATCCTTAGCAAGAGAGATGAATGTTGCTTTTAGATGTGTGAGGAGAACAACAGATGGGATGGTAGACACATTGGCTAAACAAGGGACTACAAGACAACAAATTTTTTGGGCAAAAATCTAAAGTCTTTCCTAGTGGAGAATTTTCCACCTTGATGTAATTCCTTCAATTTGAAGTTTAATAAAATTTATCCTTACTGATAAAAATAAATCAAAAATAAATAAAGCCTCATCATACTCTTTGCCACTTAGAAAAACCAACCTAAAATCCCTTGGCAACTTGAGCCTCACAGGCCACCTCTTGGCTCAAAAGAAAGATTTTACTTAGGCTATGGGCCTCATCCAAAAACAAATTAGATTCCCTAACCTCCCCTTCAAAGCTATTAGGGCAATCCACTGAATCTATCTCGTCTTCTGGTTCTTCCACTAACAAAGGACATGCCCTATATGACTGATAGGGAGGGGAGGCTAGAATGACCCATCCCACTCTGTAGAGTAGCCATCCACCTTTGCTATGTTTGTCTGATAATCTGTTTGCCCCTATTTTCTGCTTGCTTTTTATTTCACTTATCTCTTTTCCTAACAAAATCTTTTTCTCAATGTTGTTAAAACAATATATTCCACTTTCTTTAAGAAAAACATAAAGTGCAACAAACAAATGATCTAATAACCAAGACAAGAAAAAATAAGGAAAGAAAAAAATGAAAGTGTTATTCTAGCATGAGGCAATAGGATATAAGCTAAAACTATCTGAACTTGTGGATTCCTAGAAATGCTAAATAAGCAGGAAAATGAAGCTCAATATGGATGAAATAAAATATTAGCATCAAGTCTAATTAAATTTTAGGGAAATTTATGGTTTTCCCCACCGCATAAATTTTGTTGGATTTTCGGTTTTATTTACCAAAACCCCACCTATGGTACAATACCCCCTCCTGTATTTTGATAGATTCTCCCACCTGTCAATGTTCCCAACTCTCCAAACCAATAAAAATTCATGATATGTGGGGGAATCAATAAAAACTCCTAAATTTTATAATTTTACAAGTAATAGTAACAAATCAATTCCAATCTTGCCTAGGTTTACACCAATGTTTTAAAAAGGCATAGGGAAATGTATGTATGGAGCGCACCACCAAGCAAGGCGCCCCCAAAACGCCCTAAGATGCATGTGGGAGGTGTTGATGCCTCTAAGGTATGCATCTCATACAAAAAAGAAAGAAAAGAAAAAAGTAAAATGAAAGGAAAGTGAAGGGATGGGAAAGGAAATAAGGTTTGGGCCAGGGTGGCTTGTCTTCAATTCAATAGGATCCCCACTTTCAGCTAGTGTTATGCATCTTCATACTTCTTAATACAAAACATCTTTCATAAAAAGAAAATTGAAGAAAACAAAAGATGAGATCCTCTTGAGGAGGCATAAAGCCTCCACATAAGGATGCATAACTCCTTATGAGACTGCCACACTTTATATGCATATTTACCAGTCTATCACTCACCAAGATGTTCTTATCCATCAAACTTCTGATCACATTACCATGAATCTCCCTTCCAAGACCTAGCATTGCTAAATCTGCACAAACTGATAAATGTTGGCAATTGTGATTGAATTTGGCATGACACCAAAATGCAGCATTGACGAAAGAGTTCCAGGGACTCATCTCGCCACCCCTGGGAAGATAAACCATCAATGAGTGTACTCCAACTTATCAAATTGGGTCTGGGCAGTTGGTTGTCCTCTGTGTTCTCCAAGTATGAGAAAATCTCCAATGCCTTGTCACAAAAGCCAGTTTCTACATAAGAGGATATCATTGCATTCCGACTCATTAAGCTCTTCACTTTGATTTCGGAGAATATTTTCTTAGTATCCTCAATGTCTCCATGTTTCCCATACATGGATATAAGCGAGTTTTGCACAAATGCATAATCTTGGAATCGACTCATAATAACATAACCATGGATCTCCTTACCCTTGTCCAATGAATATGAATTTGCACAAACGGATAAAACCAAAGTCACTGCTTCAATAGTAGAACCATTGCTTCTCATTCTCATACTGTCAAATAACCTCATAAGACCCAAGGATATGATGGTCGGCCACCTCTTCAGCATGCCTGGATATGATGGCCGGCCGCCTCCTTAACCGGCAAACATTGTCATCCAAAAATGATAAAAGTCCAGATTCCAGATATCATAGATCACCACTTACATGATTAATTAGGACAAAAGGAAGATTCAAGCAATCTTTGATTCTCCTACATCTGATTACATACTTACCTTGATCTTCCCAGAATGGGTGTGCCAGATAAGCTGATTTGGATGCCTGATCCAAGAGGTAATTTTTCAGTCAAATCAGCCTACCAAACACCCTACAAGCTGCTAGCAGGTCCTAACAGTGAGAATATGAATTCTGTTTCATCTGTGCAATAGGGGAAGAAAACTTGGGCCTTATGTACTCCCCAAAAAATAAAGAACTTCATATGGAAGTGCTGTCACAATAGTGTGTAGCAGTTAAAACCGAGCTGGTAGCCT